AAAATATGGATGTAATTTAATAATGAGGTGTAGGGATGTCCCGATCCCGGCCTATCAGAGCATGTGTTAAAGTCTAAAGTTATTTATCTACTTACTTAGCTGTCAGACTCATGTTGAACAGGGATTTACTCTGATAACAACTTAATGGTTAGGACACAGACCTGTGGGTTACAGATGCTAATGCTAATGCTAAAATATCCGATCGGGACCAGCCTGGCTTGAGCCCACATCACAGAATAGAACCAATCGGGTTAGCTGCTTTTGGTCAGCTGGCTAATACCAAATTCCCCTGAATTTCGAACCCTGCTGAACATGAAGACTTTCAAGGGGGAAAAAAGTATCACGGCCATTTTTGGAATGCGTTGAAGGCCTGAAATGTAAAAATATGGATGTAATATAATGATAATGAGGTGTAGGGATGTCCCGATCCGATCCCGGCCTATCAGAGCATGTGTTAAAGTCTAAAGTTATTTATCTACTTACTTAGTTGTCAGACTCATGTTGAACAGGGATTTACTCTGATAACAACTTAATGGTTAGGACACAGACCTGTGGGTTACAGATGCTAATGCTAATGTGGCTTTTGTGCTATTTTTTGATCAGGTTGTCCCCCTTTCTGATCTTTTGCTTAACATATTAGTGATTCATTAAATCTAATTCTTGAGTTTTTTGTTAATTCCTGATGATTTTATGTTATTTTTTGCAGTTTTGTGTCTCTTTTGTGCAGCCTCAGCATGGCCTTTGTGTCTGGTTGTGTCCCCAGCTTTTTTCCTTTCCGATGCCGATACCGATCCCGGCCTATCAGAGCATGTGTTAAAGTTTAAAGTTATATATCTACTTACTTAGTTGTCAGACTCATGTTGAACAGGGATTTACTCTGATAACAATTTAATGGTTAGGACACAGACCTGTGGGTTAGGAGATGCTAACGTTAATGCTAATGCTAATGTAGGATTGGATTACAAAAAAAAACTGGATCTGGAGTCTGGATCTGCATTTTCTCCTGGCAGCCGATACACAATTTTTTGCAAATATCGAGGGCCAAATTCGATCCAGATATCGGATCGGGACCAGCCTAGCTTGAGCCTACATGACAGAATAGAACCAATCAGGTTAGCTACTTTTGGTCAGCTGCCTAATACCAAATTCCGACGAATTTCAAACCCTGCTGTACATGAAGACTTTTAAGGGGGAAAAAAGCATCACAGCCATTTTTGGAATGCGTTGAAGGCCTGA